ACATCTCATGGGTTTAAAGTGCACGTCCGAGGAATTATCTGATAACCAATTGAAAACCATTTCGTAATTTTGTATAAAACAACCGATGAACGACCATCATCCCAACGTAACGCTAGCCGATCTGGGGGACACGCGGAGATTCGATCTGCCCGGCGAGGAAAACACCTTGTACGTCCTGCACTTAAAAGACAACATATTCGAGCGGGTGTCACCAGCAGAAATCAAACAGCCCGACTGGTTGATCAACATGACCATCACCTCAACCCGCATATCTTTTAAAAACAATGGTTCCGTCTCCAAAACTACGAACAACGGGATCTTTCACTCCAGAGTTTGATGTACACGTTTTACGAATACCAGGTCACACGGGCAACATGTTAGCTTCAAACGACATGGCTTCATATTTACGGTTTGACGTACCCGATTGCCAACTAGATTTTTTCGATTCAAATTTGACTATCAAATCACACACCACGCTCATAGTAGATGTCTATCTTGCAGACGCTCGTGGGTCAGAATGAACACTTTTGACTGGTTGATAATACGCTGGTTCACTAGACACAATCACCAACGGTTGTCGTATCGTCATGAGACCGGGATCAACACCCTTAATAAGCCTCGATGGAGTGCGTGTTATAGAAATAATTTCGATTCATGTCTCGAATATTTACGTGTACGATAATTTAAACCTTATCAGCCTCAAATACATCGATCGTACATTAACGGAAAACCATTTAAATATTATTTTATAAAAAAAAAATATATACACACACACAGGATGGGACTGTACCCAGTCGTGGATGAAGTAGCAAAAACACTGAACAGCCGAGCCAAGACACACACACTGCGACTCGCCCACAGAACTCGCTCAATGCTACCGAGACTGCAACGAGGTGACCCAGGGGAACTGCCGAGAGCTGTGGTATGATTTTGCAGAAATCAACATAACGTAACCAGCCAGCCAGCCGGTCGGCTGTACAAGCCGAGTCGAGACACACACACACACTGCGACTCACTCAGTATTATCGAGATGACAGCGAGGCGACCCGAGGGGACTGCGGTATGATGTACTGGAAATCAACATAACGTAGCCCAGCCAGCCAGCCGGTTGGCTGTACAAGCCGAGTCAAGACACACACACTGCGACTGGCTCACAGTGCTCGCTCAAGCTACCGAGATGGCTCCTTCAGACATCTGTATCCTATCTTGTCAGCCGGCCGTGCATCATCATAGCCGAGCCGAAACACACACGCGCACACACTTATACTCGTCCACGGCGATCGTTCAAAGCAACCCCCGAGACGGTAGCGAGGAGATGACTTCCGAGACCTGCGTTTCATTCAGCTAAAACCACCTCTCGCCTCGATAATATACAACAAGTACGACAATACGTTGGATTGTTAGCCTTTCGCCAGACCGACCACATGCTCACTACAAAGTGATCATTTCCTAAACTATTTGACCGATTTTCGTGAATTTTTGCATGCATCTCGGCAGATGGTTACGCTATAGCAAACTAGCATTCGTAACACTCTCGATGACTTCATTAGATTAATTAAGACTTAATTACGACAAAGAGTTGGACATTTTGCCTTTTCCCGAACGACCCCATGCTCACTTAAAAGTAAATATTTCAGAAACTATTCGACCGATTTTCATTAAATTTTGAATGCACCATACAATGGTGCTACGGGATTAGGGACTTCCCAAGGGCTCAACTTAAAAATTGAGCCATTGGGGGGTACCTGGTCCCGTAGCCCCATTGTGTATACTACTCGAGGTTAGCAACTGTTAAAGTGTGGACATGCAAGGCTAAATGTACAATGTTCACACTCAGGGTTAAGTATGAACACTTTTGATTCAGAACAATATAGAAATCTGGAATTGTAAATATAGAAACATTCACAGAATATCTTGTCAAAAAAGATAAATATCTAAAACCAGATCTACAGACCCAGTAGACGGGTAGGTAGAAAAAACCGGTCCAGAAAGGACCCGTTCTTGGGCGGGCTGGTAGTCACACGTGTCCAGTGCCAAGGCGGTTAGGAAGACACACGGGTCCAGTGCCAAGGCGGGTGGCTACACACACACAAGTACAGTACCTAGACGGGTCGGTTCAGTCCCAGAGTTATCGACATTAATGTGGGCATCAGCTTACACACAGGTCCTACATCCAGAATATCCACATACGAAGGGTTCAGGAGCAAAACGACCAAAGTCCTTTTAAGGAATACCGGAGAGACGAAAAACTGGTTTCTTGAAAACAACTGTCCTTGTCCTGTCGTCTTGGTCAGACTTGCGGGGCGGGATACAACGAATCATCTTTTAATATTGTTTCATTGAATATTTTCAGAATGATGAAGGGAAAACTGATTAATGAATTTCATTTTTCTGGCAGAATGACCTGAGTCAGGGATATTTTTAGTGGCGGAACAACCTACTTCACTAAAATTGAGAAGGAAAACAACTTAAGTCATTATGCATAAAATAATTTCAAGAAATACCACAATAACTATGACAAAGATACAAATCAAGTTGTGTGTACCCTTTGCACATGCTTCTGGTGAACTTTTGGGAGGAATATTGCGTTTGAAAACGATGTATTTTTTCCGAAACTCAATTCAACCTTAGAGGATATTAGTGATCCTTTTTCATTGGTTTACAGACTGCAGTACACCCATCAGCCATCAAAATGAGCCATAAAATTCCATATTAGAATTAAAATCAAATTTATTCAAACATAGAACATCCTAAACATCACATGTAATACATCTTTATAGAATATATTATATCATATACACAATTCATCTTTATAGAATATAATATATCATATACACAATTCATCTTTATAGAATAGAATATATCATACACACAAGGAAAGCATGATCAAGAAAAGCTTTTGTCTCCTCTACTCTTCTTGCTAGGGAAAGCAATACTTCTGTTATCATTACATGCCTTTCCAATCGGCATACCGACCTAAACACAGTAAGGGGACAGCCCTATTAAAAGTCGACCTTAGACGTGGTACTGACAGAGGTAATGTTGGCCTCCTGGTGCTGTTAGATTTGAGCGCGGCCTTTGACACCATAGACCACCAGATGCTACTCAGTCGCCTCAAGGATGACTTCTTTCTCAATGGCAGTGTATGGTCCTGGTTCGAATCCTATCTGTCGAATCGGTATCAATCAGTGTATCTCGATGGTGTCTTTTTAGCACCAGTGAATCTTTTAAGCGGTGTGCCACAGGGATCGGTTTTTGGTCCAGTTCTATTCACACTGTACTCCAAGGCATTTGGCTCAATCATTCTTGAGATCAAGTGGCATCTATATGCAGATGGCACTTAGCTGGCGTCTCTCTCCAAGCCTAAGCAATTTGAAGCACTGCTGCAGCTCCAGGTATGACACACTGCTGCCATGACATACAGAAATGGCTGTCGACCAAGTTGAATGCTGGAGAAACGGAGTTTGGTGTGGTTGGACCAAAGTCAAGGCGTTTAGAGTCACTAGCTTGGTAATTGGAGACACTGAAGAACCAGTGTCAGAGAGTGTCAAACACTTAGGTGTTATCCTGGCCTCGGACCTCGCCATGGATAGTCAGATCAGTCAAATACCCAAAACGTGTTTCATTTCTGTACTATCCCTAGTCACGAGAAGGATCGACTTTTGTAACAGTCTCCTTGTTGGAACCCCTGCTGTGCCGATAAATCGTCTCCAGCGTGTACAGAATACGGCTGCCAGGATCGTGTCACTCGTCCGAGAGCACGACCATATCCCTTATCTTGAGGGATCTACACTGGCTTTCTGTGCAGCACAGGATTCCTTTCAACATCCTCTGCTTAGCCCACCAGTGTCGTCCGGCGATGCTCCAGGATAGATCGCAAGATCGTATGTCTTTTAGACGTCATCTCAAGACCTACCTCTTTCAACAGCTCTAGATAAACTCGTTTTATGTGACTGTGTGCTTCGAGCGTGCGCCAAGCACGGAGTAATGAGCAGTACAACTGTCCTATTATTGTCCTATGTAATATCCATATGAAACTGCAATATTTCTGCTCTGTTCAGGACAGTGTAACTGTCATTGCAGCACATGTTCATCTGACTTTAGTAAGGGCAGAACAAATGTGATTAACCTGGAACACACCGGAACCTAGTGTCTGTCAGTATCCAAATTCAATACGGTCAAACTGGAGCACTATTACTCGGCCCGAAAGTACTGTCCCCTGTGAACCCTGTTCTGCATATTAATTGATGACACTATATGCGTCCTTTGTGTGATGACTACGATTAAAAGTTTCTATAAAATACGTTTTTATTAGATAATTTGAGTACTGACTGAATGTTTTTGGGTTTTTTAATATTTGTATCATGTGTTTGTTTCAAATGATTTTGTGCCAAAACAACTTTTGTCGTGAAACCACACTTGAGTATGTTTTATGTACATATATTGATATTTTAAATCTGACACAACAATTTCACAACAATGTAGATCTCAACATGACGATTAGTTGGGTATTATTATGTCAAAACACCCACAGTCTCACTTAGGTCGTTCTCCTTCTCATTACAGCATCTACATCAATTTTGTAGGCACACAAACAGTTCCAGTACATTAAGGTTTGTTTTGACAGACACGTCCAGTATCTAGGGGTAATGGTTCACACAAAAGTCCGGTTCCTACAAATATCCATACACACACAGTATTTGTTGTTTTTGACACACACACAGTTCCACGTTTCGTTGTTTTCGGTTCCCAAACAGGTCCAATAATTGTTGGTTTTGGTTCACACACTGGTCTAGTGTTTCTTGTGTTGGTGGTATCGGTATACAAACAACATGCACAATCATCATCTGGTACACTAAATATTGTTCTGTTCCTTCTATTTTCTATTCTATTCAGTTCTTCCAAAAGAACATTTGCAAACAATATATATGTATACTAGCATTTAAAGTATTCAAGCAAAATCTGTTTCTGCTGTTATAGAACTTAAAGTGTTGTTTCAGAACGAGGCTCCCGATATCACCAATCTCCCGAAGTCGGGTAGTATATCGGAAGACACAACCGTGGAGTTGCTCATCTTGGAACTGGTCACAAGTGACCCGGAAGGAAACGAGGTCATGTGTCACACTGGCACAATCAGTCAAGCCGGAGCACCTTTCGCGGTGAAGCTGGTTTCCCTTGGCAGTAAGTTGAGATAACAAGCAGTGTCATGATGCTTCATGAAGCAGATAACTGTATAGATAACAACTTCTTGTTTATTGCACAGAGCGTCGTTTCAGTGAAGATTCGTACACCGTTATCAAGCTTGAGGTGATTACAACCAAGTGATGATAAACAAAGTCTGTGATCTAGACTACCCGTTGTTCGACTTCAGTTTTCGTGGAAGCTGCTGCGGCTGAGTGGGTTAGATGGCTGACCTTGTGTGCCTGCCAGTAGATGGCTGACCTTGTGTGCCTGCCAGTAGATGGCTGACCTTGTGTGCCTGCCAGTAGATGGCTGACCTTGTGTGCCTGCCAGTAGATGGCTGACCTTGTGTGCCTGCCAGTAGATGGCTGACCTTGTGTGCCTGCCAGTAGATGGCTGACCTTGTGTGCCTGCCAGTAGATGGCTGACCTTGTGTTCCTGCCAGTAGATGCCTGACCTTGTGTGCCTGCCAGTAGATGCCTGACAGTAGATGGCTGACCTTGTGTGCCTGCCAGTAGATGGCTGACCTTGTGTGCCTGCCAGTAGATGCCTGACCTTGTGCGCCTGCCAGTAGATGCCTGACTTTGTGTGCCTGCCAGTAGATGCCTGACTCTGAGAGTGTGGGCACGGATGGGACTCACCCCAACAGAATTGCTAGAATCTGTTCTTCACTGAGTAATGTGTAATCTGTTCTTTACTGAGTAATATGTAATCCCAAACATAACATGTACTACCAATGACCGAAAAGCTGGTCAGTGAGTTGTTTATTGCATAAATATTCACAACTAAGGATGTGTATGGTTATATACAGGAGCATACAGTTGTAACCAAGGATGAATATCATTATATACTGGAACATACCGTTGCAATTATGCATACATATCATTATGTTCTGGGAAATACAATTGTAATTAAGCATGTATATCATTATATACTAGAACATACAGTTGCAATGAAGGATGTAAATCATTATATACTAGAACATACAGTTGCAATGAAGGATGTAAATCATTATATACTAGAACATATAGAGTTGTAACTAAGGAATTGTATGAATATATACTGAAGCATACAGTTGTAACTAAGGATGTATAGAATTTTATACTTGAACATTTGGTTGGAATTAAGGATGTATATCATTATGTACCGGAACATACAGTTGCAACTAAGGATTATATCATTACATATTGAACATATAGTTGTTACTAAGGACGTATATAGTTATGTAGTGGAACATACCGTTGTAACTAAGGATTATATCATTTGCATGTACTAAGGACGTTATATTATTACATATTGAACATATAGTTGTTACTAAGGACGTATATAGTTATGTACTGGAACATACCGTTGCAACTAAGGATTATATCATTACATATTTGAACATATAGTTGTAACTAACAATGTATATCATTTTAAGCTGGAACTTTTTATCCTCCAACTCGGAGTATACGTGGATATTCATTTTACAGAATATGGCATATACTATACCCAGTCTGTGCAACTGAATTCCCTTCCGGTAAAGAACATTCAAATTGGAGTTATTTGTGAAGATGGAAAAGGCGGCTCTGTTGTGAAGAACTACGACCTGCAACTTAAACCCAACGAAAGACCTCAGGCTACGTGCTCACCGACCGGTAAGTAGGAAATAAAACAAGATTGAGGGTAGTGTTGCTGTTGTATGTGGAGACAGAGATTGAGGGTAGTGCTGCTGTTGTATGTGGAGACAGAGATTGAGGGTAGTGTTGCTGTTGTATGTGGAGACAGAGATTGAGGGTAGTGTTGCTGTTGTATGTGGAGACAGAGATTGAGGGTAGTGTTGCTGTTGTATGTGGAGACAGAGATTGAGGGTAGTGTTGCTGTTGTATGTGGAGACAGAGATAGAGGGTAGTGTTGCTGTTGTATGTGGAGACAGAGATATAGGGTAGTGTTGCTGTTGTATGTGGAGACAGAGATTGAGGGTAGTGTTGCTGTTGTATGTAGAGACAGAAAATCAAGTGTTGCTGTTGTATGTGGTGACAGAGATATAGGGTAGTGTTGCTGTTGTATGTGGAGACAGAAAATCCGGGTAGTGTTGCTGGTATGTGGAGACAGAGATTGAGGGTAGTGTTGCTGTTGTATGTGGAGACAGAGAATCCTGGTAGTGTTGCTGTTGTATGTGGGGACAGATATATGGTAGTGTTGCTGTTGTATGTGGAGACAGAGATATAGGATAGTGTTGATGTTGTATGTGGGGACAGAGAATCCGGTTAGTGTTGCTGTTGTATGTGGAGACAGAGATATTGGGTAGTGTTGCTGTTTTATGTGGAGACAGAGATATAGGGTAGTGTTGCTGTTTTATGTGGAGACAGAGAATCCGGTTAGTGTTGCTGTTGTATGTTGAGACAGAGATATTGGGTAGTGTTGCTGATGTGTGTGGAGCCAGAGAATCCGGGTTGTGTTGCTGATATATGTGGAGACAGAGAATCCGGGTAGTGTTGCTGATGTATGTGAAGACAGAGATTGAGGGGTAGTGTTACTAACCCCCAAAGCCCCCGTGTTCCTACGCCCCTGATGTACAGACAGAGATTGAGGGTAGTGTTGCTGTTGTATGTAGAGACAGAGATTGAATGTACTGTTGCTGTTGTATGTAGAGACAGAGAATCAGTGTAGTGTTGCTGTTGTATGTGGAGACAGAGATACAGGGTAGTTTTGCTGTTGTATGTAGAGACAGATTGAATGTACTGTTGCTGTTGTATGTAGTTGTATGTGGAGACAGAGATACAGTGTAGTGTTGCTGTTTGTATGTGGAGACAGAGATACAGGGTAGTGTTGCTGTTGTATGTATAGACAGATTGAATGTACTGTTGCTGTTGTATGTAGAGACAGAGAATGTACTGTTGCTGTTGTATGTAGAGACAGAGTGTAGTGTTGCTTTTGTATGTGGAGACAGAGATACAGGGTAGTTTTGCTGTTGTATGTATAGACAGAGATTGAATGTACTGTTGCTGTTGTATGTAGAGACAGAGAATCAGGGTAGTGTTGCTGTTGTATGTAGAGACAGAGATATAGGGCAGTGTTGCTGTTGTATGTAGAGACAGAGATAGAGGGCAGTGTTCCTGTTGTATGTAGAGACAGTAATTGAAGGCTTTAAGTCTCCAGAAGATAATATACTAAACATCATTGAAAATGCACTAGTCTAAAATTGTCCATATTTTCATCAAGATGGATTTCAGTATGACAATGATCAATGAATATAATAAACATGAAGTCGAAGGGCATGTCCAATTGAAAAAATGCATTAGAAACAAATTCCTGTCCACAGTATGACTCTTAATTCCAAAATGCATCAACATGCAGCCGCGCCATGAAAAAAGCGCGAATTTCATTCTGAAATCATGCTGACTGTGACATTAAAAGCAGCTGTATGAGAACCGATTGTCATTGCTTCACTAACGATTGTGAAACGAGGACAGAGATGCCGAGGTTAACACCTCACAAAAGAGAACGTGCACTAGGCATGATTCAGGTTGGCACCAGCAGCAGGGATATTGCACGACAACTTGGACTTGGCCACTCCACCATGGTTAGGCTTCATAGACGACATCAGTAGACAGGCAGCACCCGTGACCTTCAATGACCTTGGCAACAACGTGTTACGACGCTCCATCAGGATCGCCATATTGACCTTGTCCATATCAGTGATTGAACACTGCCGACTGCCAAGACTGCTGCACTAGTTCAAGGTTGACATGGGGGTCATCAACGCTGACTCCAAGCGACGCCGTCTACACGCTACAGGGCTCCATGCTCGACGTCCTTACGTTGGACCAATTCTGACTGACAGACACCGTAAGGAGCGTGTACAATGGGCTAGCATGCATTTTCAGTAAAGGTTACAACAATGGCATGGTGTGGTAGTCACTGACGAGTCACGTCTTCATCTACGTAATGCTGACGGCCGATTACGTCTTTGGCGTAGACGTTGTGAACGTTATGCTGATGAGTGTGTTGTTCAGACAGACCTTTGGGTGGTGGGAGTGTCATGGTCTGGGGTGGAATAAATTACAATCACAGGACTGCCTTCATGTCTGTCAAGGGAGAGTTAGTTAATGCCCTTTATTACCGTGAGCAGATTCTTCAGAATCACATCGTATCTGTCTCCAATCACCACCAAGATGTCCATACTTTTCTACAGGACAACGCACGGGCACATACAACAAGACTTTCCATGCATTATCTGTCCCAGAAACACATCCAGGTTATTCATTGGCCAGTACAGTCGCCAGATGTATCCCCCATGGAGCACTTGTGGGACGAAATTGGTCAAAGTCTTTCGCGGCGACAACAGATGCGAAACATCCGGGAACTTGAGGCTGCACTACTGCAGAAGTGGAATGCAATCCTCAAGAACTCTATTCGGACGCTTATTGACTCAATGAGGAGACGTTGAACTGCACGTGTCAATGCAAATGGCGGTCACACGCGATATTGCCTTTTCGATTTGACCCCACGTGTGTTTGATCCTTTCTGACTGTAAAACATTTCAATGAATGAGCGTTTTTTCTATGTTGTTGGTTTTGTCAGTCGTCCATCTGTTATTATCCACTCAAAAAATATCAATTCCTTACACGTGCTTCTGAATAAGTGGTGCGTTTTCAATGATGATCAGTATAAACTCCATGTTCTGTCGCACAAATTTGATATGAAAAGGAACCTGTGCATTTCTTTTTCAGCAACAACGCAAGTTAGCGCCAAATCCATCAAAACGAATGACATCGTATACGCCATTCCCGTCACAGACAAGGAGAACAATCCTCTATCTGTGGTAACATTGTGTACTCCGGAATTGGGACTGTTCGTTTATGACTCTGGTAAGTGAATGCGCTAGGTGATGTCTGTCACAACCGTGAGTCGCTGTACACAGCATTACCACCAGTCACAATACTATTTTACTTTTTATGCTTGCAGCCACTGTATCGTTGAAGGCGACAACATCATTCCATGGTGTGACACAGTCCAGCATCACCTGCACGTTGCGCATTAGTGACGGTAAACATCCGCCAATGGATGACGTCACCTGCTTTGTCACTATCACCATCACAGGTAAGTAGACGCACCAGGCGCACCACGCAAATAGTAGGCATGGCCAGGAGGAGATGGCATCAGGATCACTAGTAGATGTGGGGATATGGATCAATAGTAGATTAACCCATCAGGATCACTAGTAGATATGGGAATATGGATCAGTAGCAGATTAACCTATCAGGATCACTAGTAGATATGGGGATATAAGGTCAGTAGTAGATTAGCCCGTCAGGATCACTAGTAGATATGGGGATATAAGGTCAGTAGTAGATAAACGCATCATGATTAGTAGTAGGTAAGTGTCCAAAGATAAGAAATATATATCACCAATATGGGAGACAGTTCCATGGATATGCTTCTCTGTCTGTATATGCTGGACATTCAAACTGTTGTTTAGAGTGTCTACATTCAAACTGTTGTTTAGAGTGTCTACATTCAAACTGTTGTTTAGAGGGTCTGCATTCAAACTGTTGTTTAGAGGGTTTACACTCAAACTGTTGTTAAAGGGTCTACATTCAAACTGTTGTTTAGAGTGTCTACATTCAAACTGTTGTTTAGAGGGTCTACATTCAAACTGTTGTTTAGAGGGTCTACATTCAAACTGTTGTTTAGAGTGTCTACATTCAAACTGTTGTTTAGAGTGTCTACATTCAAACTGTTGTTTAGAGGGTCTACATTCAAACTGTTGTTTAGAGGGTCTACATTCAAACTGTTGTTTAGAGGGTCTACATTCAAACTGTTGTTTAGAGTGTCTACATTCAAACTGTTGCATTCAAACTGTTGTTTAGAGTGTCTACATTCAAACTGTTGTTTAGAGGGTCTACATTCAAACTGTTGTTTAGAGTGTCTACATTCAAACTGTTGTTTAGAGGGTCTACATTCAAACTGTTGTTTAGAGTGTCTACATTCAAACTGTTGTTTAGAGTGTCTACATTCAAACTGTTGTTTAGAGGGTCTACATTCAAACTGTTGTTTAGAGGGTCTACATTCAAACTGTTGTTTAGAGGGTCTACATTCAAACTGTTGTTTAGAGGGTCCCGTTACTAAACGATCTCCATTCAAACTGTTGGTCTGTCGATTTCACGCGACTGTGCTTAATTCGGTTTTGCTGCAATTATTGGATTTTGTGTTAGTGAGAAATTCATCGGTCTTAAATGAATCCAAACGGACTGTACCTTTAAACTGTTGTTAAGAGGGTCCCGTTACTAAGGATCTACATTCAAACTGTTGTTTAGAGGGTCCCGTTACTAAGGGTCTACATTCAAACTGTTGTTTAGAGGGTCCCGTTACTAAGGGTCTACATTCAAACTGTTGTTTAGAGGGTCCCGTTACTAAGGGTCTACATTCAAACTGTTGTTTAGAGGGTCCCGTTACTAAGGGTCTACATTCAAAGTGTTGTTAAGAGGGTCCCGTTGCTAAGGGTCTACATTCAAACTGTTGTTTAGAGGGTCCCGTTATGTCTGGATGTCTTATCATGGATGCATATCAGTAAGGATAGGTTAAGAAACGTACATCCCTGGAACAAAAACCATGGCTGTAAAGTTCCCTGTCTCTCAATGTACCCACAGATCAGAACCAAGCCCCGGTAATAAACAACGACAAGGAACTGGTGAAACACAGCGAGCTGACCAAGCCAGGCGTGGAACTCTTTAAGTTCGACATCACCGACGACGACACCGTCGACATTTCCTTTGAAGTGGATCCTGTGGCTTTCGCTTCATACTTCAACGTCAGCTCTACTAGTTAGTCCATGTCTATGAAAGTTCGATCATGTACACATGATGTAAAATTATTTCATAAGTGATTTTCTAAAGTATTAATCAGATATTTTCAGTTTAAGAACTGTATTTCATTCACTATAATATCTTGTCAGGATGATATGTATGAACCGTTTACGTGACTATAAGTTTCTTTTACCATAAACATTGTAAAAGATTAATTGTACCTGACACTGCCAAGACATCCCATGATCACTTGCACTTTACATCGTAAATGCATGTAGAGTATTGCCTGTACCTGACACTGCAAAGCCACTAACACACATGATGTGATCATCACAACACTAAGGTACTGACAGAACCGCCTACACTTACACTATGTAGACATTCACTGGATCATGTGATCATCACAACACTAAGGTACTGACAGAACTGCCTATGCCTACACTATGTAGACATTCACTGGATCATGTGATCATCACAACACTAAGGTACTGACAGAACCGCCTATACTTACACTATGTAGACATTCACTGGATCATGTGATCATCACAACACTAAGGTACTGACAGAACTGCCTATGCCTACACTATGTAGACATTCACTGGATCATGTGATCATCACAACACTAAGGTACTGACAGAACTGCCTATGCTTACACTATGTAGACATTGTAGACATTCACTGGATCATGTGATCATCACAACACTAAGGTACTGAATCAGAACCGCCTATATTTACACTATGTAGACATTCACTGGATCATGTGATCATCACAACACTAAGGTACTGACAGAACCGCCTATACTTACACTATGTAGACATTCACTGGATCATGTGATCATCACAACACTAAGGTACTGACAGAACCGCCTATACTTACACTATGTAGACATTCACTGGATCATGTGATCATCACAACACTAAGGTACTGACAGAACCGCCTATACTACCTATGTACACTATGTAGACATTCACTGGATCATGTGATCATCACAACACTAAGGTACTGTGAACCGCCTATCACTATGTAGACATTCACTGGATCAGGTCATCACAACACTAAGGTACTGACTGAACTGCCTATGACTGGATCATGTGATCATCAACCACTACACTATGTACTGACATTCACTATGATCATCACAACACTAAGGTACTGACAGAACTGCCTATGCTTACACTATGTAGACATTCACTGGATCATGTGATCATCACAACACTAAGGTACTGACAGAACCGCCTATATTACACTATGTAGACATTCACTGGATCATGTGATCATCACAACACTAAGGTACTGACAGAACCGCCTATACCTACACTATGTAGACATTCACTGGATCATGTGATCATCACAAAACTACACTATGCCTAGACATTCATTCTGGATCATGATCATCACAACACTAAGGTACTGACAGAACCAATGCCTACATATCGCACACTATGTAGACATTCACTGGATCATGTGATCATCACAACACTAAGGTACTGACTGAACTGCCTATATTCACTACACTATGTAGACATTCACTATGGATCATGTGATCATCACAACACTAAGGTACTGACAGAACTGCCAATGCCTACACTATGCCTACACTATGTAGACATTCACTGGATCATGTGATCATCACAACACTAAGGTACTGACTGAACTGCCTATTCTTACACTATGTAGACATTCACTGGATCATGTGATCATCACAACACTAAGGTACTGACAGAACCGCCTATACTTACACTATGTAGACATTCACTGGATCATGTGATCATCACAACACTAAGGTACTGACAGAACCGCCTATATTTACACTATGTAGACATTCACTGGATCATGTGATCATCACAACACTAAGGTATCACAGAACCTGCCTATCTTACACTATGTAGACATTCACTGGATCATGTGATCATCAACTGATAGAACCACTATATGTAGACATTCACTGGATCATGTGATCATCACAACACTAAGGTACTGACAGAACTGCCTATTACACACTATGTAGACATTCACTGGATCATGTGATCATCACAACACTAAGGTACTGACAGAACTGCCTATTCTTACACTATGTAGACATTCACTGGATCATGTGATCATCACAACACTAAGGTACTGACAGAACTGCCTATATTTACACTATGTAGACATTCACTGGATCATGTGATCATCACAACACTAAGGTACTGACAGAACTGCCTATATTTTACACTATGTAGACATTCACTGGATCATGTGATCATCACAACACTAAGGTACTGACAGAACTGCCTATGCCTACACTATGTAGACATTCACTGGATCATGTGATCATCACAACACTAAGGTACTGACAGAACCGCCTATACTTACACTATGTAGACATTCACTGGATCATGTGATCATCACAACACTAAGGTACTGACAGAACTGCCTATGCTTACACTATGTAGACATTCACTGGATCATGTGATCATCACAACACTAAGGTACTGACAGAACTGCCTATGCCTACACTATGTAGACATTCACTGGATCATGTGATCATCACAACACTAAGGTACTGACAGAACCGCCTATATTTACATTCTATGTGAGACATTCACTGGATCATGTGATCATCTACAACACTAATGGTCACTAAGGTACTGACAGAACCGCCTATACTTACACTATGTAGACATTCACTGGATCATGTGATCATCACAACACTAAGGTACTGACAGAACCGCCTATACTTACACTATGTAGACATTCACTGGATCATGTGATCATCACAACACTAAGGTACTGACAGAACCGCCTATATTATCCTATGTAGACATTCACTGGATCATGTGATCATCACAACACTAAGGTACTGACAGAACTGCCTATTCTTACACTATGTAGACATTCACTGGATCATGTGATCATCACAACACTAAGGTACTGACAGAACCGCCTATATTTACACTATGTAGACATTCACTGGATCATGTGATCATCACAACACTAAGGTACTGACAGAACCGCCTATACTTACACTATGTAGACATTCACTGGATCATGTGATCACAACACTAAGGTACTGACTGAACTGCCTATGCCTACACTATGTAGACATTAGCTGTATTATGTGTATTGACAGAATTGCCTGTTCCTCACAGGATCTACGTGTTCAGAGAATTATTTGAACCTAACGCCAGAAACCGATTTCCTCCGCAGCGGGATCCGTAACGTTATTGAAGGATCTGGATTTTGAGACACTGCCAAAAACATACACCATCACCATCGTCGCTGATGACAGTGTCCTCAAAGCAACGGGGACGGTAACATTGCAGATCACAGACGACAACGACCCCCCGGTTTTCGAGAAAAATAAGTACATAGTGTCTCTCAATGAAGGGAAAGTAAGTAAACCGCATACAATAGACCTGTGCCAATGTTTCACTCACATATAGACGTTTAGAAGGTTGGATTTTCAAAAGTCGCAAATTCTTTTAGAAAGCTGAACTTCGGGGCCATTACGTCTTGGGCCAGTGAGTGTATTGGCATGTCCGTGTGTCAGGCAGGTGTGAATACACCATACACATTATATATTTAATTGTAGTCTTTGAAACAAAACGTCGTCTTTATGTTCATGAATTTACTTTGTATGGCCACATGTATACAAACACAAATGATTTATATGCACAAGAACACTGTCAGAATTGAATAATCTGGAAGAATATTAACATATTGTTTTTGAGAAGTTACAATGACCTATGCTCCTGATAAAATCATTTTTGTCTGGTTATATAATATATGTATATTTGTCTTCACTTGTACCACCGTAGGTGTTTTTTGAGAAATAGACTTTGATTGATTGGCTGATGTTGAGGCGCATGTGTGTCTATGGCCTGTTTGTAGGCCCTGGGATCCAGCGTGGACTTGGGTCTGAAGGTGACGGACACCGACATTGGGGACACACACTCCTTCCGCGTCCTTGCTCCACACAGCAGCACCTTCACCATAGACGGAACTACACTGAAGAATCTGGTGCCAATTGACCTGGACGCAGCCGGCTCCCAGACGACGTACGATATAGTGGTAGGTTTGGGGTACGATATAGTGGTAGGTTTGGGGTACGATATAGTGGTAGGTTTGGGGTACACTCGGCTGCAACAATGACCTGCTTGATATCAGATTCCTGTTAGTTCTGTTTCCTTACTACGAATGAATACCTCCCAGTCACCACCTGTTTGCTTACTACAATTCAGCACCTCCCAGTCACCACCTGTTTACTTACTACAATTCAGCACCTCCCAGTCACCACCTGTTTCCTTACTACGAATGAATACCTCCCAGTCACCACCTGTTTCCTTTCTACGAATGAATACCTCCCAGTCACCACCTGTTTCCTTACTACGAATGAATACCTCCCAGTCACCACCTGTTTCCTTACTACGAATGAATACCTCCCAGTCACCACCTGTTAACTTATTACAATTCAGCACCCCCAGTCACCACCTGTTTACTTACTACAATTCAGCACCTCCCAGTCACCATCTGTTTACTGACTACAATTCAGCACCTCCCAGTCACCATCTGTTTACTTACTACAATTCAGCACCTCCCAGTCACCATCTGTTTACTTACTACAATTCAGCACCTTCCAGTCACCATCTGTTTACTTACTACAATTCAGCACCTCCCAGTCACCACCTGTTTACTGACTACAATCAGCACCTCCCAGTCACCATGTGTTTACTTACTACAATTCAGCACCTCCCAATCACCACCTGTTTACTTACTATCAGCACCTTCCAGTCACCATCTGTTTACTTACTACAATTCAGCACCTCCCAGTCACCACCTGTTTACTTACTACAATTCAGCACCTCCCAGTCACCACCTGTTTACTTACTACAATTCAGCACCTTCCAGTCACCATCTGTTTACTTACTACAATTCAGCACCCCAGCCACCACCTGTTTACTGTACACCAGCACCTCCCAGTCACCCCTTATTTACTTACTACAATTCAGCACCTCCCAATCACCACCTGTTTACTTTTACTACAAGCACCTTCCAGTCACCTCTGTTTACTTACTACACCAGCACCTCCCAGTTTACTTTACTACAATTCAGCACCTCCCAGTCACCACCTGTTTACTTACTACAATTTACCTCCTACTACCACCTGTTTTACTTACTACAAGTCAGCACCTCCCAGTCACCATCTGTTTACTTACTACACCTCCCAGCCCACCACCTGTTTACTTACTACAAGTCAGCACCTCCCAGTCACCACCTGTTTACTTACTACAATTCAGCACCTCCCAGTCACCACCTGTTTACTTACTACAATTCAGCACCTCCCAGTCACATCTGTTTACTTACTACAATTCAGCACCTCCCAGTCCCACCTGTTTACTTACTACAATTCAGCACCTCCCAGTCACCACCTGTTTACTTACTACAATTCAGCACCTCCCAATCACCATATGTTTACTGACTACAAGTCAGCACCTTCTAGTCACCATCTGTTTACTTACTACAATTCAGCAGTCACCATCTGTTTACTTACTACAATTCAGCACCTCCCAGTCACCATCTGTTTACTTACTACAATTCAGCACCTCCCAGTCACCACCTGTTTACTGACTACAATTCAGCACCTCCCAGTCACCACCTGTTTACTTACTACAATTCAGCACCTTCCAGTCACCATCTGTTTACTTACACAATTCAGCACCTCCCAGTCACCATCTGTTTACTTACTACAATTCAGCACCTCCCAGTCACCATCTGTTTACTGACAACAATTCAGCACCTCCCAGTCACCATCTGTTTACTTACTACAATTCAGCACCTCCCAGTCACCACCTGTTTACTTACTACAATTCAGCACCTCCCAGTCACCATCTGTTTACTTACTACAAATCAGCACCTCCCAGTCACCATCTGTTTACTTACTACAATTCAGCACCTCCCAGTCACCACCTGTTTACTTACTACAATTCAGCACCTCCCAGTCACCATCTGTTTACTTACTACAATTCAGCACCTCCCAGTCCCATCTGTTTACTTACTACAATTCAGCACCTCCCAGTCACCACCTGTTTACTGACTACAATTCAGCACCTCCCAATCACCATATGTTTACTGACTACAAGTCAGCACCTTCTAGTCACCATCTGTTTACTTACTACAATTCAGCACCTCCCAGCCACCACCTGTTTACTTACTACACCAGCACCTCCCAGTCACCATCTGTTTACTTACTACAATTCAGCACCTCCCAGTCACCACCTGTTTACTTACTACAATTCAGCACCTCCCAGTCACCACCTGTTTACTTTGACTTACAAGTCAGCACCTCCTTCAGTCACCATCTGTTTACTTACTACAATTCAGCACCTCCCAGTCACCACCTGTTTTTACTTTACTACAATTCAGCACCTCCCAGTCACCATCTGTTTACTTTACTACAATTCAGCACCTCCCACCTCCCAATCACCATATGTTTACTGACTACAAGTCAGCACCTCTAGTCACCATCTGTTTACTTACTACAATTCAGCACCTCCCAGTCACCATCTGTTTACTTACTACAATTCAGCACCTCCCAGTCACCATCTGTTTACTTACTACAATTCAGCACCTCCCAGTCACCATCTGTTTACTTACTACAATTCAGCACCTCCCAGTCACCACCTGTTTACTTACTACAATTCAGAGCCTCCCAGTCACCATCTGTTTACTTATTACAATTCAGCACCTCCCAGTCACCACCTGTTTACTTACTACAATTCAGCACCTCCCAGTCACCATCTGTTTACTTACTACAATTCAGCACCTCCCAGTCACCATCTGTTTACTTACTACAATTCAGCACCTCACAGTCACCATCTGTTTACTTACTACGAATGAATACCTCCCAGTCACCATCTGTTTACTTACTATAAGTCATGACCTGCCAGTTTAAACAGTTTATTATATGCTTTGTACAGGTTGAAGCTGATGATAACAAAGGAGGTGTTGCGACAACAAACGTCAGCATCATTGTCCAGCAAATCAACGACAACACCCCCTACTTTGAACCCAATTCTTTCAGCAACTGCATCATTGGAGTGGCGTTACAAACTTCGACTGAAATATGCTCAGGCACGGCTAAAGATGATGACGCAGGTGCGTTATGTACAGTAGTTCCACATACGGACACATACATTTATGAGTTGCAATGTTGTGGATTTCAACCACACCGAACATCGGTAAGCCATTCAGCATGTAACTATATCTAGACAGAAACAAGAGAAAGAATAAGTGTCAGGGCATAGCGTATAAGGTTACACGCATCCAAACGTGTACATTTCAGTTCTACTTTTGGAACATTTGTTTCGGATTTCTTAGGCACAAGAATTGGCGAAAACTAAAACATTCAACTGTATGGATGACAACTTCTTGTATATTGCATAGAGTGACGTTTCGAAGTAGATATATATATATATATACATGGTATGTTTTGACAAAAAACAGATTAACGTTAACAACAGCATGTAACTGAATATATAATTGGAAGAGGCCAATTTGGGACTACCGTCAGAACAACAAATTGAACTGGTGGTAAAGCCAATAAACAAGGGGGGTTAGGTTGCTTTGATAATGTCTATAGTTTGATTAATTCTTCATAGGCTGATGGTGTGTAGTTTCTTTGGTCTCTGTTGATCAAAGGTTTGTGGCGGCGGATTTCGATGGCTTCCAAAAGTTTTCTTTCTGTGAAGTTCTGAATCTTTGTGGCTAGGATTTCGAATTTGTCAAACTTGATTTGATGGGAAGGGAATTTTTTACTGTTCCGAGAGGGCTGGTTTGCTGTCTTCATTGGCTGTTGATTTTTTATGTTCTTTTATGCGGGTATCAACGGGAGGGGAGGTTTCATCTATATAAGAGTCACCATATTTACAACAAGGAGAGTTCTATGGATATACACCTTCTTTAATATGATATACTACCCATCAAAACACCGTTTAGACTCACTAGTGTAAATGTAGCCACTTACTTGTCCACTGTTCTAAACTAGCTTTTGCAAAATATTCCATACTGTTTAAAGGTACTGTTTAGTTATGAACTGTTGTATTGTAAAACATATTCGTAACATTGAAAAGATTATTGTCATGAGTTCAGTAAATGATTAAAATCTGTGAAAATTGGCGAATTCTTAACAAAACTTTACACCAAAACGCATCTGTTCACATGCACGACATTTGCTCATGCCTTTCGCAATTTGAAGCATCATCCTTGTGCAATTCATCTGCATAAGGTTTTCAGTTGGTTCCCCCAAGTTGGTGGAGAAATTCATCTTCGATGTAACCACATACATATACATAACATATAGTGAGTGCTTTAAGTGAGTCTAAACTTTTTGATGGGTGAGTATATGATATGAGCGACCCCATGGGATGCTGATTGTTCATCACACCACCTTCTAAATGCCACTTAAACAAGTTACCATATTTACAATTAATCTTATAGATCACTCCTTTCTGGGGTTGCTTTTTGTAGGATGGGTAACGGCCATTGGTTTGGAGGATGGTCCTGAGGAGTGTAGAGCCAGTGAAAGTCTTGATACAAACCTGGTGTAATCAGACCTTTTTATGAATGTTATCTTCACAGCTCTCCAGGACAAGACTCTGACATACTCTATTGGCGCCTCCAGCCACCCCGGAGTGTTCAAGATGGTTGGTAATGGCATCTATCTGCAGGAGGCGCTTCAACAAGCCTACTACGGCCAGCTGATGAGCGTGGAGGTCATCGCCACAGATGCAGGAGTCGAACCCGGGAAACTGTCAGGCTCAGTCAATGTCGCTTTCGAATGGGTGAGGAAATCTGAAACGTCCCTCAGACTAATATACTGAGTCAAAAAAGAAACTTAATAAAAAGGAATTTAAGAAATAATGAATAATTTTTCTCTGATGATACATCTATGTATCCGAAATGGGAAAAGCAAAACCCACTCAAACCCATCAATTCGTCGTGCAAATGACGTTAGTCCCAAATCAGGTTGTGCACGTGCAGTCGATCACGTGATCTTCGCATCGAAGTTTTCTTCATATGCGCGTATTTGCATTGGCCTCAAGAATTGAAAAAAACACTTTTAAACCACAGTTCTAACGGTACTTACAATGCCACGCTTGTCAAATGTGCAACGTGAACGTGCCGTTGGCATGTTGCAAGCGGGAAGATCAGTTATTGACGTCGCAAGAGTAATGGGATGCAGGCGTCGTACTGTGGATGACTTGCGAGGTCGTCTACAACAAACTGGCACCACTTCTGATCGCCAAAGGTCGGGTCGTCCACGTGTGACGTCACGAGCAGAAGACCGTCAAATCGTCCTACGTCTACTACGTGACAGATTTCTGCCGGCTACACGAACCAGGGCTGAGATGTTTAGAGGTCGACTGTCCTCACAGACCATTCGAAATCGGTTGAGGGCGACCAATCTCCATTCTCGACGTCCATATCGTGGGCCAATATTGACGCCGTTTCGTCAACGTCTGCTGTGGGCCCAACGTCGCCTCCGATGGACCCAGAGAGACTGGAATCGAGTCGTCTTTAGCGATGAATCCAGGTTTACCCTCAGATTCGTGGACGGCAGGCATAGTCTGGAGACGACGTCGTGAACGGTATGCCCAATGTTGTGTACAGGAAGTCGACAGATTCGGGGGCGGAAATTGCATGGTGTGGGGTCCTTTCTGTGGGAACAACCATTCCCGACTTCTGGTCTACGGGGAAACCTCACAGCTGCTGCTTACCGCGACCAGGTGCTGTACCCTGAACTCGTTCCTTTCATGGCGGCTCATGGCCCAGGTCTACAGTTCCAGCATGATAATGCTCGGCCGCATACCGCGATGTTGACACGAAATTTCCTTCAAAACGCTGGAATCAACGTCATGGACTGGCCATCGAGGTCCCCTGACCTTAATCCAATAGAGCACAATATAGAACAAACTTTATGGATAACAACTTCTTTTTATTCGGGAGTGCGACGTTTCGATACGGATTCTTGTAGCGTTGTCAAGCATAATGGAACATGAAGAAGGGGGAAGTGTATATATACTGGATGTAACAATGTAACAAAGAAAACAACATAATTAACATAATTGGCTAAGCAGAAAGCTGATGAAGCCAGAGAGTAGACAAAGGACAGGCGTGGAAGCCAATGATGTACAAATAATAATGAGATGTTTATGCAGCAGAGTTTATACAGTAGATTGGGCTTGGTGGATGAGTGCATCATAAGCGGATGGAAGGAAGTATCCTTGGTCTCTGTTGATGGTGGGCTTTTGGCGTTTGATGTGGATGGCTTCGGTGAGCTTGCGTTTAGTGAAGTCTGTTTGTTTGTTGGAAAGAATGGTGATGTCAGACCACTCTATTGATGATTGGGGCTTGCTTTGATGTGGTCGGAAATGGCTGATTTGCTGTTGGAATTGGTAACAGAGGTCTGATGTTCTTTCACTCGGGTGTTGATGGGTCGGGAAGTTTCGCGTATGTAGCTCTGCCCACAACCACAGTTTATTTTGTAGATGACACATTTTGGGTTGTTCTTTACGGTGGCGGGTTTTCTTCCATTGGCATGGAGAATGTTGTTAAGGTTGGAGGACGCGGAGAAGGTGGTATCTATGCCAGCTTGTTGTTTTAGTACACGGCTGATTTGATGTGACGGTTTGCCAATGTAGGGGACCCAAACCAGATTCAGCCCCCATCAAGATATCCATAACTTGTCCTCCACTCTCCCTTTGTACAGAGAGAAACTAGAACACTAACTCAAATCTTCAATGACACAAAGAGAAACCAGAGCGAAAACTCCACTCTTGCTTGATACAAAGCGAAACCCGAACACTAACTCTTCCTCCAATCTTCCTTTATACAAAGAGAAACCCGGAACACTAACTCAAATCTTCCATTGCACAAAGAGAAACCAGAACACAAACTCCACTCTTGCCTTAAACAAAGAGAAGCCAAAACACTAAATCTTCCCCACTCTTTCTTTATACAGAGAGAAACCAGAATATTAACTCTTCCTCCAGTCTTCATTTATACAAAGAGAAACCATAACAAAAACTCTACTTTTGCTTGATACAAAGCGAAACCCGAACACTAACTCTTCCTCCACTCTTCCATAACACAAAGAGAAATCAGAACAGAAATTCCACTCTTCCTTTATACAAAGAGAAACAAGAACACTAACTCTTCCTCCACTCTTGCTTTATACAGCAGAAAGAAACCAGAAAACTAACTCAAATCGTCCATTACACAAAGAGGAACCAGAACACAAACTCTTCCTCCACTCTTCCTTTATGCAAATAGAACACAAACTGAACTCTTGGTTTATACAAAGAGAAACCAGAAAACTAACTCAACTCTTCCATTACACAAAGAGAAACCAGAATACTAACTCTTCCTTCACTCTTCATTTATAAATAGAGAACCCAGAACACTAACTCTTCCTCAACTCTTCCTTTATACAAAAGAACATAATACACTAACTCTTCCTCCAGTCTTCCTTTAAACAGAGTGAAAGCAGAATACTAACTCTTCCTCCACTCTTCCTTTGTACAGAGAGAAACCAGAACACTAACTCAACCTTTCCATTACACAGAGAGAAACCAGAACAGCAACTCTTCCTCCACTCTTCTTTTATACTAAAAGAAACCAGAACAGCAACTCTTCCTCCACTCTTCCTTTGTACAGAGAGAAACCAGAACACCAACTCTTCCTCCAATCTTTCATTACACCCTGACACGTTCTCAGAAGCTAGTATCGGTGTCAATTACTGCATACGTTTTGTAGTTACCTATCAATATGTAGGACAGTATGGATCCGCGTGTATCAAAACAGAACACCCCCCTGTACATGTACAACACATATGCACAGAAGGACCTGTACATCTTCTACGTATGTAGCTAGATTGATGTGGACTTTTACAGGGTTCAGCTTCATGTGGACTAGTAGGCCTCACTTAGAAATGCTCTGTACACACCTATGAAATCGTTTTCTGAATCTCTGTCTGTCACAAGACGCCCAGATATACTTCTCCTGTGAATCTGTGTCTGAATCTGTGTCTGTCTGCGTCTGTGTCAGAACAAGCCGCCCACCTGTACTGCTCCTGTGGGACTTCAGCTTGCCGAGGACGCCAGCAAACAGGACATCCCAGGGTCGGACATAACTGCCACGGACCCCGAACCAGCAGACACTGTCACCATCGCCATGTCGTGCTCGCCTGGCAGCACGGAGTTCTCAGTTCAAAGTAAGTCGCTACACTGATAGAATGGGAAATCAGTACCAATAGAGGTCAGAGCAAGTCAGTGTTTGAATTCTATCCTTTACTTATAAGCATTCCCAAACTTGATAAAACAATATTAAAAACTGTGTTATATATTGCCAGACAAGAAGGTCCACTATTCCGGCTCTCCGGCGTTGTCTTTCAAGAACACCCCCAGCTACACGTGTGTTTTGATATGCGCGGATGGGAATGGAGGAAGTGACGAGAAGAACTTTACAATCACAATTACAAAGAACAAACCACCAAATCCGTCTTGTAGTGCACGTACGTACATATCGACAAGTGTTTTCTAGCAGTGTTATCTTTGCCTCTCTTCTGACGTGACTGAATGCTTTCTTACTCTGGCGTGAGCAAATGCTTTCCTGGTCTGCTGTGATCAAATGCTTTCTGTTTTCATTATGACGAAGTGTGCTCTTGTTCGACTTTTTAATATTACGGTGAGATTTTACATTTGCTTCCTCGCGGTACTTGGTGCAGTCAGCCGATTCAGATATTCAACTCAGGTACTCGGGGCATGTACTAAGTGAACATACTCAGTGCAGGTACTCGTTGAACATACTCAGTGCAGGTACTTAGTGTACATACTTAGTGCAGGTACTTGGTACTCGTGCAGGTACTCGTGAACATACTCAGTGCAGGTACTCGGTGAACATACTCAGTGCAGGTACTCGGTGAACATACTCAGTGCACGTACTCGTTGAACATACTGCAGGCAGGTACTTGATGAACATACTCAGTGCAGGTACGGTCTCGGTGTACATACTCAGTGCAGGTACTCGGTGTACATACTCAATGCAGGTACTTCTGGTGAACATACTCAATGCAGGTACTTGGTGAACATACTCAGTGCAGGTACTTGGTGAACATACTTCAAGTGCAGGTACTCTGTGAACATACTCAGTGCAGGTACTTGGTGAACATACTACAGTGCAGGTCCTTGGTGAACATACTCAGTGCAGGTACTTTGGTGAACATACTCAGTGCAGGTATTTGCTGTACATACTCAGTGCAGGTACTTGGTGTACATACTCTAGTGCAGGTACTCGGTGAACATACTCAGTGCAGGTACTTGGTGAACATATTCAGTGCAGGTACTCGGTGAACATACTCAGTGCAGGTACTTGGTGAACATACTCAGTGCAGGTACTTGGTGAACATGCTCAGTGCAGGTACTTGGTGAACATACTGAGTGTAGGTACTCAGTGGACATACTCCAGTGCAGGTACTTGGTGAACATAGTCAGTGCAGGTAATTGGTGAACATACTCAGTGCAGGTACTCGGTGAACATACTCAGTGCAGGTACTTGGTGAACATGCTCAGTGCAGGTACTTGGTGAACATACTCAGTGCAGGTACTTGGTGAACATACTCAGTGCAGGTACTTGGTGAAAATGCTCAGTGCAGGTACTTGGTGAACATACAGTGCAGGTACCTCAGGTACTTGGTGAACATACCAGTGCAGGGTACTTTACGGTGGTGAACATACCCAGTGCAGGTACTTGGTGAAAATGGTCAGCGCAGGTACCTCAGTGCAGGTACTTGGTGAACATACTCAGTGCAGGTACAGTGCAGGTGAACATACTCAGTGCAGGTACTCGGTGAACATACTCAGTGCAGGTACTTGGTGAACATACTCAGTGCTCAGTGCAGGTAATTTGGTGAACATACTCAGTGCGGGTAATTTTGGTGAACATACTCAGTGCAGGTACTTGATAATGCTCCAGTGCAACATACTCAGTGCAGGTACTTGGTGAACATACTCAGTGCGGGTACATGGTGAACACGCCAGTCAGTGCAGCTACTTGGTGGTGCCTCGAACATAGAGTGTAGGTACTTGGTGAACATACCTGAGTGCAGGTCCTTGGTGAACATACTCCAGTGCAGGTCCTTGGTGAACATACTCATGCAGGTACTTGGTGAACATACTCCAGTGCAGGTACTTGGTGAACATATTAAGTGCAGGTCCTTGGTGAACATACTTGGTTTAGGTAGTCGGTGAACTGCAGGTTCTCGGTGAAAATACTCAGTGCAGCTTCTTGGTGAACATACTGAGTGCAGGTACTTGGTGAACATACTGAGTGCAGCTACTTGGTGAACATACTCAGTGCAGGTACTTGGTGAACATACTCAATGCGGGTACTCGGTGTACATACTGAGTGCAGGTTCCCATTAGAATTTGTTCATTGATTATGTTGTATTATTGGAACCAAATGGTAATTTAGGTATACAGCTGTAAAATCAATAGGTGGAACTTCCGGAAAGTAGTTTACTGCTTTAAAAGTGAAATAAAGATTTGGACGCTATACCGCTGAAATATATTTGATACTAGGTGGAGCTAGCCCGTTCTTCAATATGGATGAATATATTTAATACATATGTATATGAGAGATATAAGGTTTAGTAAAAATAGATTGGAATATAAATATGGTACTAGTAATCTTTTGGTTTATGGGAAGTTAGGTAGATTTCTTGTTTTATATCCGGCGTCAGCTACAGATGGTTAAATACTGTTTATAGGTTACTGCATCCGAAAACTATGTTGAAAGCAATGTATTCGTCGCTTACAGAATGGAATATTAGGAGCTCTAGGATAAAGACGTCACATCACGACTGGATGTAAATCCACTTTCCTTTAATCACTTTGAAAACACGCTGGTATAGCGTACGTCCAGTACTGTGTTACGTAAATAATTTAAAGGAGAATCCGTGCACGACAACTACACTCTTCAAAACAAAACAAAAAAGAAGAAAATAGAGCACAGCGGTTCATTGATACAATTCCTGTGCCTGAATCCCGTTAATCATGTCGTGGTTGTTGTGCGTTCGACAGGTGGTCATATTTGGTGGGTGAAGCGTCATGGTGTGGGGAGCCATGTCCTACACGGGTAGATCAGAGCAGTTGTTGGTTCGGCAATCTTACAGCAAATCGCTGCATCGACAAAATCCTGCGACCTCACCACCTCCCACCTTTTAACCGCCAGAGGGAGCTGTTTCAACACAACGCTCGAGCCCACATAGCTCGTTTAACAGGTGTCTATCTCGCCAATGCAAATGTCAATGTCTCCTGGCCTTACAAATTGTCTGATCTGAATCCGATCGAGCATCTGTAGGACTAACTTGATCGACGCGTCCGTAAACGTTACCTTGGTCCTCAGGCACTTGCTGAACTTGCAGGAGGAATAGCGAAGAATTCCTCAAGCAAAAATCCAACGACTTGTGCAGTCCCTTCCAAGGCGGTGTCGAGTAGTGACGGCTACAAGGGCTGGTGTTACCAGGTACTAACCTGAACGCCCCCTTGCGGCGACACACGTACAGTGAGTGAACTGAATTAATGCTGACACTGACAACACTGCATATGTTCATCCGCGTGTGTCCATGTTCAAGCTTAATCGACTTGTGTACTTGTAATGCATTTCTATGTTTTTGGTCTGTGCGTTTCCCTTTTTTAAGAGTTTATATTAATAACATTTTAAGCATTTACATAGTTTCTCAAACTGCATGAAGACTTTTATTGCAGGCACTATATTTGGAGGCTTGTCGACACGGCAGCAATAGTTACTGCGTAGCAATAGGTGCGCAGTAATAGTTACTGCGCAGCAATAGTTACCGAGAGAGGAAAGGCTGTGAACAAATTGTTGAGACAGTTGTTTAAAAGATGCGTTCCATTTTGTGATTTAAATGTCTCTTATGCAACCACTTCAGATCACGTCACATCAGTAAATGTTGTTCTAATAATAATTCCGCTGTAAAGAAGTTTGTTAATTTGATGTGAGCAGAAATGTTGCGGCTCAGAGAAAACCTTTTAGCATCCCAGCTGAGAGACCACAAAATACTTATATTTCCGTAATGGCACATGGCGATCTTATCCCATACTGCCTTGTTGACAGCTGACCCTCCGCGTCTTCCAGCCTGAGAAGACTTTAATGGAGAACTTGACTTGACACTCTTACGATGAATGCGACTTTCCTTCAGTAAAGTAATCTCATCTCATGAAAGTCAGTAGTGCATAGGAACTCTTTTCAGGTAGGATATTTTGAAAGTCTCCGCCATGCATTATATAACATGGATGTTTGTCGACATATGACCAGTGTATTACCAGAAAGTAATGGAGATTTCTGGGGGTTTGTTATGTTTGGATCTTATTCTCATACTTTACGTCCAGGGAAAGGCTTTCAGAAAAAGACAGTGTTTATACCTCGCTAAGTCCAGTGTTCCACATGAAGATTGCCGATGCTACTGTTTCAGTGACAAAAACGATAGCAGACGCTTTAGCAGTAACCAAGGGGACCGAGATTCTGACCTTCCCTAGCGACGACCCCGAGAACGACGACATCACCTACTCTATTCTGATGAGTCCAGCTTCCGCCCTGTTCCAGGTCAATCCAGGTGAGTGAATCTCCAGGTCTACCTCCACACACATGCCCCTCCTTACACCAACACCCCATTCCATGATTTTCTCCTTACATGTGCGCCTCCCACATCAACACACCATTCCATGATTCCTCCTTACACATGCCCCTCCTTACACCAACACCCCATTCCATGATTTCCTCCTTACACATGCCCCTCCTTACACCAACACCCCATTCCATGATTTCCTCCTTACACATTCCCCTCCTTACACCAACACCCCATTCCATGATTTCCTCCTTACACATTCCCCTCCTTACACCAACACCCCATTCCATGATTTCCTCCTTACACATTCCCCTCCTTACACCAACACCCCATTCCATGATTTCCTCCTTACACATTCCCCTCCTTACACCAACACCCCATTCCATGATTTCCTCCTTACACATTCCCTTCCTTACACCAACACCCCATTCCATGATTTCCTCCTTACACATTCCCCTCCTTACACCAACACACCCATTCCATGATTTCCTCCTTACACATGCCCCCACATCCTTACACCAACACCCCCTTTCCATGATTTCCTCCTCTACACATTCCCCTCCTTACACCAACACCCCCATTCCATGATTTCCCCTCCTTACACATGGCTCCTCCTTACCATCACACCAACACCCCATTCCATGATTTCCTCCTTACACATGCCCCTCTCCTTGCATCAACACCCCATTCCATGATTTCCTCCTGACACATTTCCTCTCCTCACACCAACACCCCTTCCATGACTTCCTCCTTACACATGCCCCTCCTTACACCAACACCCCTTTCCATGATTTCCTCCCACCTGGCACTCATGCCCCCTCCTTCCATGATTTCAACACCCCATTCCATGATTTCCCCCTTGCACATTTCCCCTCCCTCACACCAACACCCCTTCCATGACTTCCTCCCCACATGCCCCCTCCTACACCAACACCCCATTCCATAATTTCCTCCCTTACATGGCCCCCATCCTTACACCAACACCCCCCTCGTTCCATGATTTCCTTCCCCTCCCACACCATGCCCTCCCCTACACCAACACCCCATTCCATGATTTCCCTCCTTACACATGCCCCTCCTTACACCAACACCCCATTCCATGATTTCCTCCTTACACATTCCCCTCCTTACACCAACACCCCATTCCATGATTTCCTCCTTACACATTCCCCTCCTTACACCAACACCCCATTCCATGATTTCCTCCTTACATTGCCCTCCTTACACCAACACCCCATTCCATGATTTCCTCCTTACACATTCCCTCCTTACACCAACACCCCATTCCATGATTTCCTCCTTACACATTCCCCTCCTTACACCAACACCCCATTTCATGATTTCCTCATGATTCCCTCCTTACACCAACACCCCTTTCCATGATTTACTCCTTACATATGCCCCCTCCTTACATCAACACCCCCCCTTCCATGATTTCCCCTTACACATGCCCCTCCTTACATCAACACCCCCTTCCATGATTTCCCCCTTACATATGCCCCTCCTTACATCAACACCCCATCCATGACTTCCCCCTCCTTACATATGCCCTCCTTACACCAACACCCCCTTCCATGATTTCCCCCTTACATATGCCCCTCCTTACATCAACACCCCATTCCATGATTTCCTCCTTACACATGCCCCTCCTTACATCAACACCCTTCCATGATTTCCCCCTTACACATTCCCCTCCTTACACCAACAACCCCATTCCATGATTTCCCCTCACACCCCCTCCTACACATGCCCCTCCCCTCACACCAACACCCCCCATTCCATGATTTCCTCCTTACACATTCCCTCCTCACACCAACACCCCCATTCCATGATTTCCTCCTCCCTCCTTACACATGCCCCTCCTTGCATCAACACCCCATTCCATTTGTTTCCTCCTTACATTCCTCCCTCACACCAACACCCCATTCCATTGTTTCCTCCTTACACATTCCCTCTCCTCACACCAACACCCCCATTCCATGATTTCCTCCTTACACATGCCCCTCCTTGCATCAACACCCCATTCCATTGTTTCCTCCTTACATTCCCTCCCCACACCAACACCCCATTCCATTGTTTCTCCTACACATTCCCTCCTCCTCACACCAACACCCCATTCCATGATTTCCTCCTTACACATGCCCCTCCTTGCATCAACACCCCATTCCATTGTTTCCTCCTTACACATTCCCTCCTTACCAGCCCCCTCCTCCTGCCCACTGATGACGTCAATATGGAGACGTATGTTGGCATGTATGGATGCCCCGGGTGACCACACTCTCTCTATTGATGACTTGTCCCTGACTCCTGCCTTATTAAGTGTCTCCATTTATGCACTCTTTGAATGACCTCTGATTTGTGCACTTTTTCGATGTGACCCCTTGACTCTTCTTTTAATGATTTATGGCAAAGACAAGACCAGCCTTACAAAATGAATTTTCAGTCTGATTATGGGAAAATGATTTCTGTTTGTAAAATACGTATCATAAATCACACATGCGTCTGTTTTATCGGTTGGTCAAGCAAAGTCGGTGATAACGTTCTTTGCCTGGTAATCTAGACGTTGATTGGCATTTTAGCAGTTGGTGAACAATAAGAAAGTAAGATACTTTATGGGTAACGACAAGTCTTGTTTTGACAACGGTATAAGAATCTATACCGAAACGTCGCATCATATGTAATAAAGAAGTTGTTATCCATAAAGTATCTCACTTTCTTACTTCATTTGCCTCGTAGTTTATAATTACGCAGCTACTCAAATGTCACCGCTGACACATTCTGCAGACACCGGGGAGCTGACGGCCAGTGCCGATCTGAAAGGCCAGAAGGCTGACTTCGTAGAGGTCACTGCGACACTCAGTGACCTGTATGAAAACACGGCCGTGTGCAAAGCTTTCATCACCATCAACAGTAAGTGTTACTTTGCAGCAGGATGTGCTAAGTTCAGTTCAGGATATCAGAAGTAGGGTGGACTATGAGGCATACTAGGACATACTAATCTGAATGTACAACGAAACAAATTGGTGCCTAAAATGATTTGCACGCACTGTCCAAATATCCGTAAAATAACATCCTGCAAAAGACACGAACCCTTCATTTCATACACAGTTAAACGGAGGGCACAGTTTCCGTTTGAAACGCGGGGACTGTACAGTTTGTATCACACGCGGGGACTGTACAGTTTGTATCACAGGTGGGGACTGTACAGTGTGTATCACACGTGGGGACTGTACAGTTTGTACCACACGCGGGAACTGTACAGTGTGTATCACACGTGGGGACTGTACAGTTTGTACAGTGGAATCTATGCCTGTGTGATTCCTGGGAGAGCGTAGCTCTGTGTGTTTGTGTTACTTTGGAGAGAGTGTGCGTGTGTGTGTTACCTGGGAGAGTGTAGCTGTGTGTTTATCTGGGAGATTGAAGCTGTGTGAATTACCTGGGAGAGTGTAGCTGTATCTGTTACCTGGGAGAGAGAGTAGCTATGTGTGTTACCGGGAAGAGTGTGCGTGTGTGTGTGTTACCTGGGAGAGTGTAGCTGCGTGTGTTACCTGGGAGAGGGTAACTGTGTGTGTGTACCTGGGAGAGTGTATCTGTGTATGTGTGTTTCCTGTTAGAGTGTATCTGTGTATGTGTTACCTGGGAGAGTGTATCTGTGTATGTGTCATCTGGGAGAGTGTATCTGTGTATGTGTTACCTAAGAGAGCGTATCTGTGTGTATGTGTTACCTGGGAGAGTGTATCTGTGTATGTGTTACCTGGGAGAGTGTATCTGTGTATGTGTCATCTGGGAGAGTGTATCTGTGTATGTGTTACCTAAGAGAGCGTATCTGTGTATGTGTTACCTGGGAGAGTGTATCTGTGTATGTGTTACCTAAGAGAGTGTATCTGTGTATGTGTTACCTGGGAGAGTGTATCTGTGTATGTGGGTTACCTGGGAGAGATTAGCTCTGTGTGTGTGTGTGTGTGTGTGTTTCCTGTTAGAGTGTATCTGTGTATGTGTGTTACCTGGGAGAGCGTATCTGTGTATGTGTTACCTGGGAGAGTGTATCTGTGTATGTGTCATCTGGGACAGTGCATCTGTGTATGTGTTACCTAAGAGAGCGTATCTGTGTATGTGTTACCTGGGAGAGTGTATCTGTGTATGTGTTACCTAAGAGAGCGTATCTGTGTATGTGTTACCTGGGAGAGTGTATCTGTGTATGTGTCACCTTGGAGAGTGTATCTGTGTATGTGTCATCTGGGAGAGTGTATCTGTGTATGTGTTACCTGGGAGAGTGTATCTGTGTATGTGTCACCTGGGAGAGAGTATCTGTGTTTGTGTTACCTGGGAGAGCGTATCTGTGTATGTGTTACCTGGGAGAGTGTATCTGTGTATGTGTCATCTGGGAGAGCGTATCTGTGTATGTGTTACCTGGGAGAGTGTATCTGTGTATGTGTTACCCTAAGAGAGTGTATCTGTGTATGTGTTACCTGGGAGAGTGTATCTGTGTATGTGGGTTACCTGGGAGAGATTAGCTCTGTGTGTGTGTGTTTCCTGTTAGAGTGTATCTGTGTATGTGTGTGAGTACACCTGGGAGAGCGTATCTGTGTATGTGTTACCTGGGAGAGTGTATCTGTGTATGTGTCATCTGGGACAGTGTATCTGTGTATGTGTTACCTAAGAGAGCGCATCTGTGTATGTGTTACCTGGGAGAGTGTATCTGTGTATGTGTTACCTAAGAGAGCGTATCTGTGTATGTGTTACCTGGGAGAGTATCTGTGTATGTGTCACCTTGGAGAGTGTATCTGTGTATGTGTCATCTGGGAGAGTGTATCTGTGTATGTGTTACCTGGGAGAGTGTATCTGTGTATGTGTCACCTGGGAGAGAGTATCTGTGTATGTGTTACCTGGGAGGCGTGTATCTGTGTATGTGTCACACTGGGGAGAGTGTATCTGTGTATGTGTCACCCTAGGAGAGTGTTTCTGTGTCTGTGTTACCTGCGAGAGTGTATCTGTGTATGTGTAATCTGGGAGAGTGTATCTGTGTATGTGTTACCTTTTGAGAGTGTGTATCTGTGTTTGTGGTACCTAGGGTTGTGTATCTGTGTATGTGTTAGCTGTTAGAGTGTATCTGTGTTTGTGTCACCTGGGAGAGAGTATCTGTGTATGTGTCATCTGGGAGAGTGTGTATCTGTGTATGTGTCATCTGGGAGAGTGTATCTGTGTTTGTGTTACCTGGGAGAGGTATCTGTGTATGTGTTACCTGGGAGAGTGTATCTGTGTATGTGTCATCTGGGAGAGTGTATCTGTGTATGTGTCATCTGGGAGAGTGTATCTGTGTATGTGTTACCTGGGAGAGTGTATCTGTGTATGTGTCACCTGGGTGAGTGTATCTGTGTATGTGTGTTACCCGGGAGAGAGTAGTTGTGTATGTGTTACCTGGGAGATTGTATCTGTGTATGTGTCACCTGCGAGAGTGTATCTGTGTATGTGTTACCTGGGAGAGTGTATCTGCGTATGTGTCACCTTGGAGAGTGTATCTGTGTATGTGTCACCTAGGAGAGTGTATCTGTGTCTGTGTTACCTGTATGCGAGAGTGTATCTGTGTATGTGTAATCTGGGAGAGTGTATCTGTGTATGTGTCACCTTGGAGAGTGTATCTGTGTATGTGTCACCTAGGAGAGTGTATCTGTGTCTGTGTTACCTGCGAGAGTGTATCTGTGTATGTGTGTAATCTGGGGAGTGTGTATCTGTGTATGTGTTAGCTGTTAGAGTGTATCTGTGTTTGTGTCACCTGGGAGAGCGTAGCTGTGTATGTGTCACCTGGGATTGATATATACACAAAGTTACTCCAGGAATATGCTGGTAAACAATTTCACCTGAAGAGGTAGGAGATATGTCTTCTATATTTAACAATGAAACCATCGTTTTCTTTGTTTAGATGTAAACAAGAAGCCAGTACTGAAGCAGACCAACACCAAGGTGTTTATCAAAGAGGATGCTGCAGCCGGTGATGTGATGTTCACTCTGAACATCGAGGACCCTGACACCCACGTCGCCACCTATGTGACGACCATTAAAACGCTCCCTGAAGAAGCGGCCGCCAATTTTGAGGCTGAAGTCACCGGCAAAGGTAAGCTTAGGATCTTCGAAAGGGCATTGTTTCAAACGCTGCATCAACACAATTTGGATTGCGACTGACTTGTTCTTCACAATCTTGACTTTCGAATCCGAATTGAGAAATGTTTATCGTGGACTATTAAATACTATTAAAGGTCAAGAAGGTCCACGCCTGGTAGATCTACCTGGTAGTAGTAACAATACTGGACGTCTGACCCTTTGTAGTAGCAGTGTTGACGTTCTACCTGGTTGAAGCAGTAAAAGTACTGGTCGTCAGACGCTTGTAGTAACAGTGTTGACGTTCTTCCTGGTAGTAGTAACAATACTGGTCGTCAGACCCTTGTAGTAACAGTGGTGACGTTCTACCTGGTAGCAGTAACAGTGGTGACGTTCTGCCTGGTAGTAGTAACAATACTGGTCGTCAGATCCTTGTAGTAACAGTGGTGACGTTCTACCTGGTAGCAGTAACTGTGTTGACGTTCTTCCTAATAGTAGTAACAATACTGGTCGTCAGATCCTTGTAGTAACAGTGGTGACGTTCTACCTGGTTGAAGCAGTAACAGTACTGGTCGTCAGATCCTTGTAGTAACAGTGGTGACGTTCTGCCTAGTAGTAGTAACAATACTGGTCGTCAGACCCTTGTAGTAACAGTGGTGACGTTCTGCCTGGTATTAGTAACAATACTGGTCGTCAGACCCTTGTTGTAACAGTGGTGACGTTCTGCCTGGTATTAGTAACAATACTGGTCGTCAGACCCTTGTAGTAACAGTGTTGACGTTCTACCTGGTTGAAGCAGTAACAGTACTGGTCGTCAGACCCTTGTAGTAGCAGTGTTGACGTTCTTCCTGATAGTAGTAACAATACTGGTCGTCAGACCCTTTGTAGTAACAGTGTTGACGTTCTTCCTGGTAGCAATAACAGTGGTGACGTTCTACCTGGTAGTAGTAACAATACTGGTCGTCAAACCCTTGTAGTAGCAGTGTTGACGTTCTACCTGGTAGCAGTAACAGTACTGGCCGTCTGAACCTTCTAGTAACAGTGTTGACGTTCTACCTGGTAGAAGTAACAAAACTGGTCGTCAGACCCTTCTAGTAACAGTGTGGACGTTCTGCCTGGTATTAGTAACAATACTGGTCGTCAGATCCTTGTAGTGACAGTGTTGACGTTCTACCTGGTAGCAGTAGCAATACTGGTCATCAGACCCTTGTAGTAACAGTGGTGACGTTCTACCTGGTAGTAGTAACAGTGTTGACCTTCTACCTACTAGCAGTAACAATACTGGTCGTCAAACCCTTGTAGTAACAGTGGTGACGTTCTACCTTTGGTAGCAGTAACAATAATACTGGTCGTCAGACCCTTGTAGTAACAGTGTTGACGTTCTACCTGGTAGAAGTAACAATACTGGTCGTCAGACCCTTGTAGTAACAGTGGTGACGTTCTACCTGGTAGCAGTAACAGTGCGTTGACGTTCTACCTGGTAGCAGTAACAGTGTTGACGTTCTACCTGGTAGCAGTAAAAGTACTGGTCATCAGACCCTTGTAGTAACAGTGGTGACGTTCTACCTGGTAGTAGTAACAGTACTGGTCGTCAGATCCTTGTAGTGACAGTGTTGACGTTGTACCTGATAGCAGTAATAATACTGGTCGTCAGACCCCTTGTAGTTACAGTGTTGACGTTCTACCTGATAGCAGTAACAGTGTTGACGTTCTACCTGGTAGCAGTAACAGTGTTGACGTTCTTCCTGGAAGTAGTAACAATACTGGTCGTCAGACCCTTGTAGTAACAGTGTTGACGTTCTACCTGGTATTAGTAACAATACTGGTCGTCAGACCCTTGTAGTAACAGTGTTGACGTTTTACCTGGTTGAAGCAGTAACAGTACTGGTCGTTTGACCCTTGTAGTAGCAGTGTTGACGTTCTTCCTGGTAGTAGTAACAATACTGGTCGTCAGACCCTTGTAGTAACAGTGGTGACGTTCTACCTGGTAGCAGTAACAGTGGTGACGTTCTACCTGGTAGCAGTAACAGTGGTGACGTTCTACCTGGTAGTAGTAACAATACTGGTCGTCAGATCCTTGTAGTAACAGTGGTGACGTTCTACCTGGTTGTAGCAGTAACAGTACTGGTCGTCAGATCCTTGTAGTAACAGTGGTGACGTTCTTCCTGGTTGTAGCAGTAACAATACTGGTCGTCAGACCCTTGTAGTAACAGTGGTGACGTTCTTCCTGGTAGTAGTAAACAATACTGGTCGTCAGACCCTTGTAGTGACAGTGTTGACGTTCTTCCTGGTAGCAGTAACAGTGTTGACGTTCTGCCCCTAGCAGTAACAGTGGTGACGTTCTGCCTGGTATTAGTAACAATACTGGTCGTCAGACCCTTTGTAGTGACAGTGTTGACGTTCTTCCTGGTAGCAGTAACAGTGGTGACGTTCTGCCTGGTAGTAGTAATAATACTGGTCGTCAGACCCTTTGTAGTAGCAGTGTTGACGTTCTACCTGGTAGCAGTAACAGTACTTGGTCGTCAGATCCTTGTAGTAACAGTGTTGACGTTCTACCTGGTAGTAGTAACAATACTGGTCGTCAGACAACCAGCACGAGCTTATCCCAGAACCAACAAACAGCTTACCTCAACCAACCCTCAACAAAAGCTTATCTCAGCACCAACCAACAGCTGAAATCAACGCAAGCTTATTTAGGCACCAGCAAACACGGTAACTCATCCACCCCAACACACGCTTATCTCAGCACCAGCAAACAGGTTAACTCCATCCAACCCTCAAAAAAATCTTATCCCAGCAACAACAAACAGCTTAACTCATCCAATCCTCAACACAAGCTCATCCCGCATCAATAAACAGCTTAACTCATCCCCTCAATCAAGCTTATCAGCACCAACAAATAACTTAACTCAACCAACTCTCAACACAACTTATTTCAGCACCAACAAACAGCTTAACTCAACCAACTCTCAACACAAGCTTATTTCAGCACCAACGAACAGCTTAACTCAACCAACTCTCAACACAAGCTTATCCCAGAACCAACAAACAGCTTAACTCAACCAACCCTGAACACAAGCTTATCTCAGAACCAACCAACAGCTTAAATCTCCCAACCCTCAACACAAGCTTATCTCAGCACCAACAAACAGCTTAAATCAACGCAAGCTTATTTAGGCACCAGCAAACACGGTAACTCATCCACCCCTCAACACACGGTTATCTCAGCACCAACAAACAGCTTAACTGATTCAACTCTCAACACAAGCTTATTTCAGCACCAACAAACAGCTTAACTGAACAAACCCTGAACAGAAGCTTATCCCAGCACCAAGAAGCACCTTAACTCACCCAACCCTCAACACAAGCTTATTTCAGTACCAGCAAACAGCATAGCTCATCCACCCTCAACACAAGCTTTTCATTTCAGCACCAACAAACACCTTACCCTCACCAAACCTCAACACAAGCTTTATTTCAGTACCAGCAAACAGCTTAACTCAACCAACTCAAGACAAGCTTATGTCAGCACCAACAAACAGCTTACCTCACCCAACCCTGAACAAAAGCTTATCCCAGAGCCAACAAACAGCTTAACTCAACCAACTCTCCAGACAAGCTTTATGTCAACACCAGCAAACAACGTAACTCAACAAACCCATCAACACAAGCTTATTTCAGTACAAGGAACTGTTCCGTTCCCTTTATGAGTTTTACGTTCTTCTTTCAGTCATTTCAATTAAACTACGTGCTGGTAGGAGCTGGATTTCGAGACGTTGAACAAGTACACTTTTTTGTTAACGTCAATGATGGTTGCTGGACGTCTGACGACATCGTCACGTACTTGGACCTAGATGACGTCAATGAGGCTCCGGGCATCACTAACGGGTTGAAATACTCCGCCGAGTTCCAAGAGGTGAACCTGTTTTTGTCTCTCATCTCGGAAACTAAAATTTGCATTAATGAATTTAATCCCAGATTCTTTTCACTACACATTACCTTCAAGATATTGTGTCCCTCACTACATGTTACCTTCTTGACAGTGTGTCTTCACTACATGTTACCATCTTTACAATGTGTCGTTACTACATGTTACCTTCTTGACAGTGTGTCTCTCACTACATGTTACCTTCTTGTCGTACAATGTGTCTTCACTACATGTTACCATCTTGACATGGTGTCTTCACTACATGTTAACATCTTGACATTGTGTCTCTCACTACATGTTACCTTCTTTGACATTGTGTCTTCACTACATGTTACCATCTTGACATGGTGTCTTCACTTCACGTTTCCATCTTTATATTGTGTCTCCCATCACTACATGTTACCATCTTTACAATGTGTCGTCACTACATGTTACCTTCTTGACATTGTGTCTTCACTACATGTCACCTTCTTCTTGACATTGTGTCTTCACTACACGTTACCTTCTTGACATTGTGTCTTCACTACATGTCACCTTCTTTGACATTGTGTCTTCACTACACGTTACCTTCTTTGACATTGTGTCTTCACTACATGTTACCTTCTTGACTGTGTCTTCAATAGACGTTACCATCTTTACATTGTGGTCTTCACTACATGTTACCATCTTTACATTGTGTCTTCACTACATGTTACCATCTTGACATTGTGTCTTCACTACATGTCACCTTCTTTGACATTCTGTCTTCACTACATGTTACCTTCTTTGACATTGTGTCTTCACTACATGTTACCTTCATGACATTGCAGGTCTTCACTACATGTTACCATCTTTACATTCTGTCTCTCACTACATGTTACCATCTTGACATTGCGTCTTCACTACACGTTACCTTCTTTGACATTGTGTCTTCACTACATGTTACCATCTTGACATTGTCTCCACTACATGTTAACTTCTTTGACATTGTGTCTTCACTACATGTTACCATCTTTACATTGTGTCTTCAATACACGTTACTGTCTCTTTTACATTGTGTCTTCACTACATGTTACTTTGATGACATTGTGTCGTCACTGCGTGTTACCATCTTTTTGCATTGTGTCTTCACTGCATGTTACCGTCTTTACATTCTGTCTTCACTACATGTCACCATCTTTACATTGTGTCTTCAATACACGTTACTATCTTGACATTGTGTCGTCACTACATGTTACCTTCTTTGGCTTTTGTCTCCACTACATGTAACCTTCTTGACATTGTGTCTTCGCTACATGTCACCATCTCTTTACATTGTGTCTTTTAATACACGTTACCATCTTTACATTGTGTCTTCACTACATGTTACCTTCTTGACATTGTGTCTTCGCTACATGTTACCATCTTTACATTGTGTCTTTAATACACGTTACCATCTTTACATTGTGTCTTCACTACATGTTACCATCTTTACATTGTGTCTTTAATACACGTTACTATCTTTACATTGTGTCTTCACTACACGTTACCATTTTTACAATGTGTCGTCAGTACATGTTACCATCTTTACATTGTGTCTTCACTACATGTTACCATCTTTACATTGTGTCTTCACTACACGTTACCATCTTTATATTGTGTCTTCACTTTATGTTACCTTCTTTACATTGTGTCTTCACTACATGTTACCTTCTTTGATATTGTGTCGTCACTACATGTTACCATCTTTACATTTTGTTTTCACTACACGTTGCCTTCTTGATATTGTGTGTTCACTACAAGTCCCTTCATGACATCTACATTTCAGGATCAAGTGAACCACTGTGTGAATTTAGGCTGCGGTGGTTTTGACCCCGACATCGGCGATGTCGACAAATGGAAGTGGACAATCACTGACCCGGCAAAGTACAAGGACTCCTTCACAATCAGTGGCGCTGACTGCACGCTGTGTCTTAGGGCAGCGATTGAGCTTTGACCCTGAGCTGCGAGACAAGAAGGCAGACAAGGAACTGATTGATCTCAAGGTCGAGTTCGTAGATAAAGGAGACCTACCTGCAGCTAAAGTCAAATTTGACGTTGCAGTGACAGTATTGGAGGTAGCTGCACAGTTTAATAACATAACGCAACTATAAGTCTCAAATGCTGCTAATTGAAATTGATAGAATGTTCCGTTATATAGACTATACAT